TACATAATTTTGCCTTACAGTTTTATGTTTTAAAATATGTGAATATATTGAAAGACTGTACTTGAGTTTCTATATGCATGAATTTAAAATACCTGCACACTTAATTTTAAAATATGTTTACTGGAGTTTTACACACTTGTTTCTGAGACAAGAGCCAAGTTTGCCACTGCATGTCCTAGAGGCCCATAGTTTATCTTTTTATATAATTTATCTGTATCAAAAATAGTTGAAAACTATATAGTGAGACCCAAGTTTTATGCAGAACATTAAAACATTTATCCTAGGTATTCCTAAAAAAGTTTTAATGACTAAGTTGTATTAAACATTTTAAGCATAAATACCTATTGAAATGAACAATTAGCAGTTCCACATAAAGTTCTGCAAGCAGTTTGTTTTGTCTCACATGAGATCAGCAAACTTGCTATCATCATTATCTAATATTAACTAGCAGAGCGTATAGGCCAGAGTCTAACAATCCAAAAATAAACTGAAAAGGATAGGATATTTTCTCTCAAATTTAAAAACTGAGGCTCAGAGACAACAAGTCATCTGTGCAGCTCATAAGAAAAATCCATAGAGAACATGGGTTCTAATCAGGTGGGTTGGTTTTAAAGCCTATGCACTTTCCAGGGTAAGCAGAGGCAGCGGCAGGAAGAAGTGATTTAGGCACCAATATGACCAGGGTAAGGAACCACAGTCAGGAGCTCAGATAGCAACGAGTGCTACGCCTGCAAAAATGGGCACAAAAAACAAAACAAAACAAAATGACCTTGAGAAGTAAAAAGGTAGAAAAGCAATTTTAAAACATGTCACAACTAGACTCCTGGCTTCTGGTCCAGCGGGGCAAGGGGTTTGGGTGCTGCCAATCTAACAGTTGTGCAGTAGAGCAGATCCAGGAATACACATCTCTTCTTGGATCTGTGACAGAGGTGAGGACAAAGGGCAGCTCTCTGCCCCCAAAACTGGAGAGATGAGCAGGTTGATAAAGGGAGTCATAGCTTACAAAGCAGAGGTGCCCAAGCAGTAGTCACCCAGCAAGCATTACTGGGTGGATGAAGGTGTCCACTGTACCAGGAAAAAACTCCAGAGGCTCAACACAGACCAGTCTGAGGCTTAAAACCACCAGTGGCAGCCATGTGAGGGCATAACCCTTTTGTATATTTTACCTCTAGAGGTAAAACAGGCACTCTGCATAGATATCTTAGGAAAAAATCCCCTTGTGCTCACAGCTATGTAAGGGACCCATTGCAACATGTGCGAGAGCTCTCCACTCTTAGCAATGTTGTCCTCGGAATAAGCTGTTTAACCAGACTCTAACTTGCTGGGGTCTTAGAAAAATCGAGCTGATGTTGGGAAGAGAAACATCCAACTCCAGCAGCTCTGGCCTTCCACAAAGAAAGGGGGAGATACCCAGTCCCAGCCTGTTCTAGCCAGTCTATGTCACTGTAGGGCCAGGGGGCGTGAGAAGAACTTGTGAGGCTCACCATCCAGAGGCGCAGTCATGGAACTATGGGACACTTCACCTGCTTTCACCAATTTACATGTTACCAACACCATCCGTACGGCAGTTTCTTCTATCTGCTCCATCATGTCTGGCTATTGAGAAAAAAATTACCAGCATGTCAAAGGACCAGAAAAACACAGTTAGAAGACAGGTAGCAAATATCAGACCCAGTCACGGCAGGGATGCAGACCAGGGCTTTAAAATCACTACACCTATATCCTGAGGGATCTAATGGATAAAGCAGACAACATGCCAGCATAGACGGAGAGTATAAGTAGGGAGATGAAAATCTCAAAAAAAGAATAAGAAATGACTGCAAGACATCAAAAACTCTGTAACAGAAATGATGAATGCCTTTGGTGGGCATATTAATAGACTGGAAACTGCTAAGGAAAGAATTAAGGACCTTGAATCAGACTCTCAAAGCTTGAGGAATATCAGCAGAGGTAACAAAAACTGAAAGGCAATGAAAACAAGCAAAACAGAAAAAAAAAATTATCAAAGACTATGCCAGGACTGTTGGACAATCACAAAGGAATAACATGATAATGTGTACAATGTGAGTAACAAAAAGAGTAGGGAAAAAGAAAAGAATAGAAGAAACATGAAAAACAAAAATGAGAATCTTCCTGAAACAGTAACAGAAATATACCACAGATCCATGAAACTCAGAGAATACCAGGAAGGATAAATGCCAAAAACATCTGCACTCATGCATATCATTTTCAAACTATAGAAATCCAAACATATAGGAAAAATTCTGAAATAATGTAGCAGGAAACACACCTCATCTGCCGACAAACAAAAATAAGAATTACATTTGTCAACAACCAAGCAAAAAAGGAGAGAGCAATCTGAAATATTTAAAGCGTTGAGACAAGAGAGAAATAAATACGCCACCTACCTTGAGTTCAAAACTATGTGAAACCATTCTCCATAAACAAAGGAGAAATGAAGACTTTCTCAGATTAAAAAAAAATGAAGGTATTTGGGCCAATAAACTTGCCTTGCAAAAAATATTAAAATAAGTTATTTAGAGAAAAGGAAAATAACATAGATAATAAACTTGAGTCTGCTTAAAAAGAGCGTCAGAAAGAAATAAGCAAAGTAAAATAAAAACTTTCATCTCTATTTTCTTTAAAAAATCCAAAAGATAACAATTTGACCACCAAACAAATGCAATAATAAATGTGCCTATGTTTGCTTAAGTGACATGAATAACCCAAAAATGATACAAGGGAAGGAGAGGATGGAGAAATTAGGATTCTTTTGTTATTATATGCTACATACAATTCCTGTGAAGTAGTATAGTGTTATTTGAAAGTATACTTGTGGCCGGCACTGCGGCTCAATAGGCCTATCCTCTGCCTGCGGCGCGGGCACACCAGGTTCTACTCCCGGTCGGGGCATCAGATTCTGTCCCGGTTGCTCCTCTTCCAGTCCAGCTCTCTGCTGTGGCCAGGGAGTGCAGTGGAGGATGGCCCAAGTGCTTGGGCCCTGCATCTGCATTGGAGACCAGGAAAAGCACCTGGCCCCCGGCTTCGGATAAGCGCGGTGCACCCACCACAGCGGCCATTGGAGAGTGAACCAATGGAAAAGGAAGACCTTTCTCTCGTCTCTCTCTCTCTCTCTGTCCAACTCTGCCTGTCAAAAAAAAAAAAAAAGTATACTTGTATTAATTGTAAATGTATTTTGAAAAATCAGGGGAAATAACTCAAAAGTTAAAAAAGTATAATATTCTAGGGGAAAAGAGAAAATGAAATCATATAAAATGTTAATTAAACCATGAGAGGATTTGAGTGTCTGTCCTAGCACCTAAGACATCTGCAACCCTCATCAGAGTACCTGATTTTGCTTCCTGGCTTTGGCTCCTGGTTCCAGCTTCCTTGCCAGTGCAGATCTTGGAAAACAGCATCAATGACTCACGCAGCTGCACTTTTTTTTTTTTTTCCTTTTTGACAGGCAGAGTTAGACAGTGAGAGAGAGAGAGAGACAGAGAAAAAGGTCTTCCTTCCATTGGTTCACCCCCCAAATGGCCGTTATGGCCGGCGCACTGCACCGATCCAAAGCCAGGAGCCAGGTGCTTCCTCCTGGTCTCCCATGCAGGTGCAGGGCCCAGGCACTTGGGCCATCCTCCATTGCACTCCCAGGCCACAGCGGAGAGCTGGGGGACAGAACTGGCACCCCAACCGGGACTTGAACCCATGGTGCTGGCTCCGCAGGCGGAGGATTAACCTAGTGAGCCACGGCGCCGGCCACGCAGCTGCATTCTCACCACCCAGATGGGAGGCCTGGATTGTGTCCCCAGCTCCAGGTTTCAGCCTTGGCCAGCACAGCCACAGCAGGCATTTTCACTGATAGGAGATCGATCCATCAATCGATCTCTCTCTCTGTCTCTCTCTCTCTCTCTCTGAATCCCTCCTACTCTTCCTCCATCCCTCTCAAATAAATAAGTTTTTGAGCAAAATAGAAAAATGAGAATCAGAAAAATAGTGAAAGACAAAAACAAAGATCAAGGGCAACAGAAAACAGTAAACAAATATAGTAGATATTAATACAAGTAAATCAATAATTAAATTGAACATCAGTGGCTTAATGCATCAAATAAAAGACATTTGTCAGTAGATCAAAAAGTAAGATTCAATTATGTGCCATGTACAATAAACACACTTCAAATATAAAGGCAAGTACAGATTAAAATGAATGAACAGAGAAAAATAAACCACATTAATAGTCATCAGAAGGAACTGAGAGCAATTATGTTAACTTCAGACACAGCATATCTCAAAGAAAAGTTATCAAGGATAAAGGAGTATATTACATGTTAAAGAAGGAGAGAATTCTCCAAAAAGACTTAAGAATCTTTAATGTGTATGCACCTACAATACAGCATCAACTATAAGGCAAAACTGATAGAACCGCAGGAGAAACAGATGGATCTGGTTGGAAACATCAGCCCTATCCTGTCAGAAATGGAAGGATCACACCATCAATCACCTGCATGTAACTGGAACGTGTGAACGGCTTCCTCCAACAACAGCAGAATATACATTCTTCTCAACTCACCTGAAATATTCACCAAGACAGACCACATCCCGGGCCATAACACACACCTGTCACACAATGCCTGCGCTGAGGAATTAATCTCAAGACATGTGGAGACTAAACAATACATGTCTGAATACCACATGGGCCAAAGAAGAAATTTCAAAAGAAACTAAAAATTGGGGCTGGTACTGTGGCATATGAGCACCCTTATGGGCACCAGTTCATGTCCCAGTTGTTCCTCTTCCAATCCAGCACCCTGCTAACGGCCCGGGAAAACAATGGAAGACAGCCCAAGTGAATGGGCCCTGCACCGCACTGGAGACCTGAAAGAAGCTCCTGGCTCCAGATCAGCCCAGCTCCAGCCGTTGCAGCCATTTGGGGAGTGAGCCAACGGAGGGAAGACCTTTGTCTTCTGCTTCAATCTCTCTCGGTCTGTAATTCTACTTCTCAAATAAATAAATAAAATCTTAAAAAAAATTATGTTGAGATTATGAAAATGGAAATACAATGTATCAAAACCTTTGGAGTGCAGTAAAGCCATGGTATAAGGTACATTTATAATACTAAATGCATGCAATCCAAAGTAAATATCTGAAATCAGTAAACTATGATTCCAAATTAGGAATTTAGAAGAAGCCGCATAAATTAAATCTACAGTCAGCAGAAGAAATGACAAAAACTAGAAGAGAAATCACTGAAACTGAGAACTGGAAACCAATGGAGAATGTCAATATAAACAAAAGCTGATTCTTTACAGAGATCAATAAATTTGACAAGTCACTACCCAGGCTAACTAAGAACAAAAGAAAGAGAGGATATGAATTAAGGATATCAAATATTCAAGAGGAGACGTCACTACAGAGTCCCTAATAGTACATCATCATAATTCTCACACTGTAAATAACTTTATGCCCACAAATTTGATATCTTAAGTGAAATATATTTATTGAGAGACCTAACGTGCTAAAACTCACACAAGAAGAAATAATCTGAGTAGGTCTGTAACTGCCAAATAAGTAGAATAAAAAATTAATAACCTTCCAAAGTAAAAGGCACCAGTACCAGATGGGCTCGTGGGTGAATTCCAACCAACATTTCAGGAATAAATTATACATATTCTCTACAATCCTTTTCAGAAAATAAAAGTAGGGGAATATTCCCTAACTTATTCTCCAAAGACAGCATTGTCCCAGTAAGAAAACCACAAAAGTTATTGTAAGAAAACTACAGACTAACATCTGTCATATACATTGATACCAAAATCCTCAATAAAATCATAATAAATTGAATCAATGAAATCCCCAATCAAAATCAAAAAAATATTTTTGTGATATTGACAAACCAATACCGAAGTTATATGCAGAGTGAAAAGACCCAGAAGAGTCAGAACAATGTTGAAAGAGAAGAAAAATGTTGGAAGTCTGACGATACTCAAAATCAAGACTCCCTATAAAGCCATAGTAACCACAAAAATGTGGTGTTTCTGTGTAGGTGCAAACTGTTGAAATATTTACTTAATATATGATAAATTGATCTTCTGTATATACAGATAATTGAAAATGAATCTTGATGTGAATGGAAGGGGAGAGGGAGCGGGGGGGGTTGCTGGTGGGAGGGAAGTTATGGGGGGGAAGCCATTGTAATCCATAAGCTGTACTTTGGAAATTTATATTCATTAAATAAAAGTTAAAAAAAAACAAGTAGGCAAATAAATGGAGGAAAGCCTTCAGAGGTATAGGCAAGCTGTCTTTGAAAAGGGAACAAAAACAACAGAATGAAACAAAGACAATCATTTAAGCAAATGGTGCTAACTGTATATCCACATTTAAAACAATGAATACAAGTATAGACCTCACGTCTTTCACAAAAATCAGCTCCAAACTAATCAAACTAATCATTTACCTAACTGCAAAAGGAAAAACTTTAAAACTCCTGGAATATAAGAGAAAATCTGTATGGCCTTAGAAATGGTATAAGTGTAGATATAATACCAAAGACATGACCTAAGAAAGAAAGAATTTATAAGTGGAATTTACCTGAGAAAGATTAGGGAAGGAACCAAAGAGAAGCCAAAGACAAGGAGAAAACACTTGCAAAAACACACATCTGATAAAGGACTCTTTTCCAACTTAATAAGAAAATGAACAAATGAGCAAGCTGATTAAGGAATGGACTCACGATGCATCAAAAAAATACAGATGTCAAATAATTCTATAAAAAGATGTTCTACACCATATACCATTAGGAAAATACAAATGAAAATAACCATGAGGTACTACTGCACTTATTAGAACACTGCTGTTACCAAATATTGTGGAAGATGGTAAGCAGTGGAAACCCTTATTCAGTGCTGGTGGGAATGAAAAATGCTGTAACCCTTTGGAAGACAACTCAGCAGTCACTTACAAGACTACTGCACTCTTACCATAGAACCTCCAAATTGTTCTCATGGCTTTTAGCCAAAGGATTTGAAAACTTAGGTCCACACAAAAACCTACACACAGATATTGCTGGATTTTAACAAGATTTGGCTTCCAATCTCCTGTGGATGATGAATCCCCAAAGTCATAAATTAATGGAAATAATTAATCATTTAAATAAAAGAAATGTGTTACGCAAAACATGACAGCTGGTTGTCCCTTGCTGTACTCTGGGTCCCGGGTTCTGTTAGATATTCTATTTTGATCAAACTCCAGCCCCTCCATTTTTCCCCTTCCACTTCCCTTCACAAGCAACCATTGAATGGTAGACTTTTTGATCTCAAATTTGACTCTGTTTGCTTTAGGCTGCCATTTGCTTCTCGTCTGTGTTTTCTACTGCTTCTACTTTGTATTTCCAACTGCAGTTGGTTCAAATCTCTACAGGGATTCCAGCTGAGTCATTTGGGGCTTACGCTTCCCCACCTTTCTCAGCAAGCTCGGTGCTGCTGGATCTTTGAAAACCTTTCTAAGCCTTGTCTTTAGTTCACTCACATTTCTGCCAATTGACTAGTTTGTATATCAGTGACAGGTGTGTGGAGCACAGCCACTCTAGGCCTGTCTCTGTATGATAAAATACCTCTTTTTTGGACAGTGTGATACAATGTCTAGAAAAAAAATAAGTCTGATAGCAGAAGTTGATAAATGCTTTCATCTCGAACTATCCTTAAGTTCCTTAAAACAGTTCTCTGTGATCTCACAAAATTCCCTCTATCCAGGGTGAAACAGACTACAAAGAGGGGTCAGGCAGTCACTTTCCACAAAAGGCTTTGTTTCTGAAAAAGGGAGATACATGTCAGCCTAATCTCTTTGTCTTGGACATCCAGGAAATCTGAGTCACAGCACCACATATCTGTGGTTCTGTGATGAATGCACGTGGGTTCACAGTAACCAGTGGCAGAATATAGAGCCTCTAACTCAAATGACTGGAGCAACAATTTCAAGACTCCCCGAGACCCATCAGTAATGAAATTAGAGCACTGTTGTAGTGGTTGAGGTAATTTATATAAAGCAGCTAACACACTATATAGGTTTTTATAAGCTTTCCGTAAATTTCACAATTTTAACATTATATTCATGTATAACAAATACTTACATGAAAGTTTAATTATGAAAAACAATTTTATATTTTCAGAATAAAGACAATAGGGGCTAACCCAAGAAAACTTATACAAAGTGAGGGATCTGAGGCAGTATTACTCACATGCAAAAGATTTAGCGCTGAAGTGAAATGGTTCTGTTGGGGGCTTCAGACAAAAAGATGTATTCATTTCATTTCTTAAGTAAAAATTCTGACATTTTATTCACTGACCAAAACTTTTTAACTTCGCCAGCACTCTCGTTAAGGAGTGAAGTCCACAAGTCCTACTGCCTGGGTTCAAACCCACTTTTATCTGACACTGGCCATGGAGACTGTAGATAAATGTCCTAATCCTTCTGTGCCTGGGAATGCACATGGCTGCTGGGGTGCACAGAGCACATATGTACACATATTTCTGAATATATATATATTCTCTATCCATCCCCACCCACATAGGGAAAGTCGTGTGTTCTGTTACTATCACAATTCCATCCCAGTACCACAGGGTTCATTCTAGCCTGCACTCTTTCATGTTTATAATGCTCTCCGACAATGAGAAGCTGTCACCCTGTCATCTGCAGACCTCCACACAAACAAGTTGTAGAGGCTAGCAAGTGGACATGTTGCCCTCTAACAAACCCTGATCTGGTCACACCTGTGCACCAGTGCCCTCCTTGAATCAATGTGGTAGTCCCTAGCATCTTTTTCCATTATCACTCCCTTGTGACACTCATATAAGCTACATTCCACTTCCCCCAGAAAAAGAACGTTAAAAGATCTTCCAAAAAGTTAATCTCAAGACGTTTACACTGGTAGCTTTCCAACATTGATCAACTTACTTAATTTCGGAGACTGAAGAATTTTTTTGAATGTATACCTCAGTGGCAACAATAGCTCCCTCATAGATCGGTCAAGATTTAAATAAGATATTCTATCCACCATGCTTAGAATACTGTGAGCAAAGCACAAAAGTTAGTTATTAGAATTGTCTGTCTTCTGGGTCAGCTCTTACTCTAGGCAAGACACCTAATCAGTTGCTACAGAGTTCCATGTTCTAATAATGTATCACTATCTTCCTTATTCATTTACCAATACATAAGAGTTTGCTTTCTCTAAAATGGTGATAATGACATCTATCATGCAAAGGAGCTGTGTCTATTATATATTAAGTGACATATAAAATACACCCAGAAATGATAACAATCATTGCCATTTTTATATCAGACTGTCGTTTTCTTAATTCTTCACATTTGCTCTTTTTTTTTTAAATTTATTTAATGAGCATAAATTTCCAAAGTACAGCTTATGGACCACAATAGCCTCCCCCACCCCCCGTCAGACTGTCATTTTCTTAATTCTTCACATTTGCTTATTCCTTTTCTTTTTGAATCCTCTTCTTCATTATATGGTTAACTTAAGTTACCGTATAATGTACCATATCCCCAGGGTGTCTTTGGTCATTCCATCTGAACTTTAGTATGTTCCCTCATATTCTTTTCTCTTACACTCTTACCTCTAGCAGGTGTACGTTGCCTTAATGAATGTGACTGCATTTGTACAGATTTTAGATCAGAAGCATCTGTTTCAGTAGACCTATAATAATCTTCGCAGATTAGCGGATAGCATTCACCATTTTTGTAGCCATCACAGCTGATATGTAGTTTCATGAGATAAATCCAGCAGTACGTGCAGTTTCAGAGAAGAGCTTGCTTCTGCTAATGAAGCTGTGTGCGTGTTCTGTATACACTGGAAGTGAAGTGGGATGGAACAACTGTGCCTTTCGCCAGCCAGAGTCCAATCCCAGCTTCCTGGCCCTGAGAATCGGGGTGATGCACTCAGAATTCTTCGAGCTTTATTATGGCACTATTTTGTGAACTGGGGATGCTATATCCTCCTCTAAGGAGTTTGTTGCTGACTGAATCAAAACATACATGCAAAGATCTTAACAAATACAAGATAAACAGGTTCCCCAGCTTTGCCTTTGACCCCCTCAATTAATTTCTATTTTTCCTTAAGGTATTCTCATATAACTGAGCCTATTTGTCTGTTTTAGGTAGTTTACTACTTCTCATCTGCATGATCTCATTCTTCTTTTTTTTTTATCTAAAATGACATTTTGAGATCTAATTTTTAGAAGTGGAAAAGTCCCTAAATAAATAAAATCATCATGTTTATTCAAAGGGACTGCTTTCATTTTTTAGAAAGGTAATTGCCAAATGATATATCTAGTCATAAACAATAATTTAAGAATAAATTGAGCATATCTTTATTGACGCTTCTTTATCAGCCTGATGATAGTCAAATTTTCTAGTTTAGCATAACACTTCTAACAGTTAACAGAAGTGAAACTGAGCAAATTTCTTATTGCCTTGTACCTTATCTTCTTCATCTATAAGATGGGAACAAATAATATCTTTTTTATTTTTATGATAATTCAAGTTGACTTTCGCAAAGTATTTCAAACGGTGCATGGCCCAGACTTAACACTGTTTGTTTTAGCCATTTTTTTTTAAAAACTACAAACTTTTTCATGATTAGCACATTGAAATGATATGCTAGAATATTCTATAGTCATTGAAATATCAAAACTGAATCCATAGTTATAATGACAGAGATACATGTTGGATGTTCTGACCCAGAGTTGAAATAAAATACGCTGATGTACCACAGACGACCAAAATGAGCAGCTTGCTTGTTCTCTCCACAGGGCTCAGTCATATGGCTGTTGGGATTCAGAGGGGTCAACACAGCACTAAGAACCACACCTTCATGAGAACATGGTCATAGATGAAATCCTAAACTTTGAATCCAAAGTCATTTCAGTCAAATCTATGAAAATACATCAAAGAAGTCTAAAAGTCTGCACTTGCTGTACAGCCAAAGGACATCTACTTTGAGTCCTCTCATCTTTTCAATTGTTTGTCTTGGGATTTTGTAGTGGTTCAAGTATAAACACTAAGAAGTGAATATAACACTTATCTACCTCACCATTCACACTAATGATTGTGGTTTGACAATCTAAGATGAAAGATTTCTTCTAAGTACAAATAGTTATTACTACAGGATGTGTTTTCAAAGAGAACAGTATACAATTTTAGGGCCGTAAACAAGTTTCAATCACTACTATCTTCATACAAGTGTTTATGTTCCAAAGGTATCTTGACCACAAAAAACTAATTTTAAAAAATACATCAAGGCCACTTGTGTTCACTATGTCTGGAGTACTTCTGAAACTTTAGATGCAGTTCTTATCAAAATTGTTTGTCTCATAGAAGAGGATGACATTTCTAGACCACCAGATCTACACTTAGGAATGGCCTGGCAGGCACCTATAAATAAAGGCGGGAAGCAGCTGGGACAGAATTGAATTCCTCTGGATAACTGGCATAGGCGTCAGCAGGGAAAAGCAAGCACTGTGCCCAGATTAATGTTTTCCCATATATACCACACATTTTCACAGAAAAAAGATAAATAATGTCCGAAGACATGTAGAATTTCATGACTCTGCTTTGAAACTACTTGGGCCGATTTTTCAAAACCTCAGTTAAAGGAGTCAAGATATCCTACTTCTTTATAATCAATCCCAGGCTCATGTTTTAGAAATGGCATGCTTCAATAAGTATAATAGAATATATATCAAATGGTTCAAGGAGGAAAGTCTCAGTACACATATTTATAAAATGGCTGCCTTTGAGCTACTTACAAAGCACTGTTCAGGTTTAGCAGGGGGAAACATTCCACTGCCTTCTATAGGAGATCTCTTCCTATAAAGGGAAATAACATGTAAATTCAAAAAGTGTTTTGGAAATTGGTAAACCATGTGTCAGTTAATCACAATTGTCTATAAAGTGGCATTTTTGACATTCATCTTTATAGAATCAGCCATAGAGTTAAATATCATCATGAAATCAATCTTTGCTGCTGCCATATTGGTGAAAAGATTAATTTAATCTCCATACAAATATCATGAAACCTGGTACATTTCAGGTATCTCTCAACTGTGAGATTGCATAGTATTTGCTTGTCTATGAGTGACTTATTTCAGTTATTTTAATGACCTGCAGGAGCACCCACATTGTTACAGATGGCAGGATTTTCTTATTTTTTTAAGTCTTAATAACGTTTGCATTATATGAATGTACTACATTTTCTTTGTCTCCTCACCTGTTAATGCACATTCAGATTTTTTCCATATATATAATAATAATGAACGTGAGAGCGCAAATTTTTAAGAACTGCTGTACCATTTTCCACAGAACTCACATTTTATATCCCCATCAATAGTGTACCAGGATTCCAAATTTTCCACATCCTCACCCACACTTATTATCTATTCTTTTATTGATAATGCTGTCTTATAAAGAATGAGATGATGCCCCTAGGTGGGTTTGATTTACATTTCCCTGATGTTGAGTGAAGTTGACCATCTTGTCATGTACCTGTTGGTCGTTTGTATGCCTTTGGAGAAGTGCCCACCAAATCCATCGCCAACATTTTAAAAAGGTAGTGTGATTTTTGCTGATGAGTTGTAGAATTTTCTTACATGTTTTGGGTATTACCCTCTAATTATATGCACAGCTTACATATACAGTTTATAAATATTCTCTCCTAGTCCATAGGTTGACCTTTCATTTTATGCATGATTGCCGTCAGCTCTGCAGAGTTTTCAGTTTAATGTGGTTCTCTTTCTCCAGTTTTGCTTGTGTTACCTGGAATTCTGATATCATATTCAAGAAATAATGAAAGATTAATGTTAAGAAGTTTTGCCCTTATGTTTTCTTCTCAGAGTTTTACATTTCCAGGTCCTACAGTAGGGTCTTTAGTGGTAGAAGCAGAGGATAGGTTAAGGGTGACAGGGGCTAGAAGTGAGCAGAGGCGAGCTGGTTAATGAACACAATGCTTCAGTTACACCCAGTGGACAACAACTGCCCATATCCGACCAGCGGGGAGCAGGGAATCGTTTCCTCATTGCCAACATGAATTAGTTCTAGAGCTGAACTGCACAACACTGTGCCTAGAGTCAGCAGTCTACCACACATCTAAAAATGTTAAGAAGGTAGGTGTCATGTGTCGCTCCCCGTCTTTGTGGAGGAACGACACAGGACCCTGCGCTGTTCTTTTGTCTGCTCGGCCCTCCCCGGGTTTGCTGCTGGTTCTTCCCGAGTTGGCTACTATCCCTTCCACCTCCGTGGAAGGGCGGTTCCCCCTGCCACTTTCCCCACTTCCGCAGGGGAGCGGCACACCGCCGGCCGGCTCTCTCGGGGGCTGCACAGGTGTTCCTTCAGATAGATGTTCCTGGTGCATGTTGTCTCTCTCCTCCTTTATAGTCCTCTTCCGCCAATCCCAACTCGGCTGCCCACACGCCGAGTACGCTGCTCTCCTCCAATCAGGAGCAGGATCAGCTCCTGGAGGTCATCACTCAAGTTGGCAAGAGGCAGCTGCGTAGAAGCTGTTTTCTCCTCTCCCAGCGCCATATTGTGGGAGAGCAGATGCATAGAATAAGTCTTAATTCCAGTAACTCAGTCCAGTCCGGGTTGCTCCCCACAGTCATGTTGCATGTTCTTATAAAAAAATAAAATCAAAGAGACACAAGGAAAACTTTGAGAAATGATGGACATTTCTATCATTTTGAGTACGGTGAGGGTTTCATGGGTGGATGCAGGTGTTCAAACTCATCAAATTGCATATATTAAGTACACGTTTTTGGTGTATCAATTATATCTTAATAAAGCTGTTTCTAAAAAAAAATGGAGGCAGACATTTGGTACAGCAGTTAGGAGGCTGCTTCAGATCTTCACATCTCTTATCAGAGTGCCCAGATCTGGGTCCCAGCTGCACTCTAAATTACAGCTTCCCGAGCCCTGGACACAGCAGGGGATGGCACAATTACCTGGCTCCCTGCCACTCAAATGGCCCTGGCACAGCCCTGACACTTTGGACACTTAGAGAATGAACCGGAAAAAAAGCTCTCCCCTCCCTCCCTCCGATTTCAAGTGAATAAATACTTAAAGAAATGTGGGGCTGGCGCCGTGGCTCACTTGGTTAATCCTCCACCTGTGGCACTGGCATCCCATTGGGCGCTGGGTTCTAGTCCAGGTTGCTCCTCTTCCAGGCCAGCTTTCTGCTGTGGCCTGGGAGTGCAGTGGAGGATGGCCCACATGCTTGGGCCCCTCCACCCACATGGTAGACCAGGAGGAAGCACCTGGCTCCTAGCTTCGGATCAGCGCAGCTCTGGCCGTAGCGGCCATTTGGGGGGTGAACCAATGGAAAGAAGACCTTCTCTCTCTCTCTCACTGTCTAACTCTAAATGTCAAAAAATAAAAATAAAAAAAAAGTAAAAAGAAATATAGTAGGAAAACAGGCAATATATTCCATCAAGAAATAATTCCTACTTGATGGAACCCACACCAGTTTTGTTTTTTTAATATTTTTTAAGTATTCTGCTTGGTCCTTGGAACTAGCCAAAAATAAGAACTAAATTTAGTGCCCATTTCTGTTGTCTGAGAAGCTAATTTATAAGGCACATTGATCATTAAGTTTAAAAGAAGGAGAATATAGCTACAACATTGTACTAAGAACAAAGATTTTTTAACACAAGTATAAAGTTATGATATACAACCAAGAAATACTGCTTTTAGTGGGTTTTTTCCCCACTGTTTCCTAAGATGTGGGATATTGAACACAACATAAACTCTGAATCACTCCCATTCACTTATTCAGTAAATGACTATTGAGTTGCAAATTATTCTTCTTAATGAGTCCCTATGCAGAGACTGATGACAGAGCCCCAGTGTGTGCGGAGCCTGGCAACAGTCTCTTTATATGATGGCCAATCATTTGAAAGCAGCCAGGTAAGGGCTCCCTAATTTGTTCAGTGCCTGTGGTTCAAAAGAGATCAGTGCTAGTGCTAAGTTCTTTCAGGTACAAGTACTGTATATGGTGATTCAAGGGAAAATACCTAAATTAAGTTCCAGAATTAAGAGGCAGGAGAAACCATTCTCGTAATTATCTCTTTCTTCTGTTTTAATCATCATGTGAAAATTCAGCAATTCAAGATCCATCAATGGCCAAGACTTAACTATTAGCTATTAATTTCACAGGTCATTTAAAAACAGTTAACCATGCATATTAAGCCAGAATAAACCAGGCTATTTTAGAATTCTTGCAAGTTTGGAGAACAAGCGCTAAAAATTATTGTGTCTTTATCTAAATTACTGACAATTTTTTATGTCAGAGTTTCTACGAATTCAGGGTTTAAAACTAACTCATTATGGTTTACAGGTTCTATATAGACTTGTGGTAAATATTTTCATTTTTAAAAGAATTGTAACCTGATAGACAGTTGCAGCTGCCACTGTCCAGAGCCTTAAAATTGTCTTGGTTGGTTTTGTGCTGGGCTGGCATCTGGCTTGGGTTTCTTGTCTTCTCATCACAGGGCAGAGGGAGGGAGTGGGGGTAACCTACCCCTGTGATAATGGCATTATTCCATTCACAGGGCAGAGGATTGTGTCGTCAGCATCTCTCAAAGGTCTCCCCCCACAGTACCATCACAATGGCAACATGAGCTTTGCAGAGGAGCAAGTCTTTAAACTCATACCCTTGTCTCTCTGGATTTAAGAACCAGACGGCATCCTAACCAGAGTCTCTGGAAAGTCTAGGGGAACTTCAGAACAGAAAAGGCAGAGGAGGAGAGTCTCAAATTCTATTTATAAATTTACTCAAATATTTGACCATGGAGCTCTATGGGTAAATGGTCTCAATTCACAGTAGCATAGTTAAGGATTAAAGAGCTGAACTTTGATTTTAGCTGCCTGTCAAGACAAAAATTTTCCCAACCATGTTAACTGCTCATTAAAACAAGACTTTGCAGAGGAATGAAAGAAAATTCTGGGCCTCAACATCACAGTAACCATCTTTAGGATATAATTAAGGAAATACCCAATCTCAAGAAAAAACACACTAGAGACCTACTCTGAGATGAACCAGATAATGTAATTATCAGCAAGAATTTAAAACTGTTTTTTATAACTAAGATTAATGATACAAAGGAAAATATGGCCTTAGTGAATAAAAGTATGGAAAATCTGAATGTATAAACACACAAAAAGAAAGCACATGGAAATATAAGGGGACTTCAAAAAGTTTATGGAAGAGATATTTTATTAAAAATTATGCATGGGTGCCGGAGTTGTGGCATAGTGGATAAAGCCACTGCCTGCAGTGCTAGCATCCCGTATAGGCACTGGTTCGAATCCCGGCTGCCCCACTTCCAATCAAACTCTCTGCTAATGTGCCTGGGAAAGCAGTGAAAGATGTCCCAAGTTCCTGGGCCTCTGCACCCCCGGGGAAGACCCAATAGAAGCTTGAAGCTGCTGGCTTTGTATTGGCTTAGCTCCAGCCATTGCGGGCATTTGGGGAGTGAACCAGCAGGTGGAAGGCTTTCTTTCTTTCTCTCTCTCTCTCTCTCTCTCTCCCTCTCCCTCTGCCTCTGCCTCACCATAACTCTGCCTTTCAAATAAATAAATAAATAATTTTTAAAAATTATTCATGGATTCCAACAAACTTTTGCACCAAAATAAATCTATTTTTAATTCTATTTTTATGCAAATTTTTGAAGTACCTTCATACTAGAACTGAAAGCTGAAGACTGAAATAAAAAGGTCAAGAGGGGATGAAAAGGAATAGTTAAACCAATCAATAGGAGCACCTTCGTAAAAGAAGGTGCCAGTGTTGGGGCATAATGGGTTGAGCAATCACCAGTTCA